AATAGAAAATATGAATGGAATGGAGATGGAATGGAATTGAATAAAATAGACTATAAAAGAACAGAATTCTTTATTGGCCAACTGTGATTGGACACACAAGGAATTTGTCTCTGGTGCATAAGTTCTCAGTGTACATAAAAGAAAAGGTATATTCATGACGAATCATAAGATTCAGCACTTAATGATAGTCATAGGGTACAAATAAGCAATCAAATCATACTAGGAAACAATATGAATCATAAGGATACAAGCCACCAAGTTACAGTCCTGCAGTCATAAGTGGGGGGAGATGGGTGATAGGAACGATGAGAAGACTAATAGTATTGCAGCCTTAGTGAATGGTTTGACAGTGGTGAGGGAATTATTTGTTTAGCAGAGTGATGGTGTTTGGAGAAAAAAAAACTGTTCTTGTGTCTTGGCAGTACTCTATATCATCATTATGAGGGTGAGGAGTTGAAGCAATTTATGTCCAGGATGTGAGGGGTCTGTAGATATTTTCACAGCCCACTTTTTGACTCCTGCAGTTTATAGGTCCTCAAAGGAAGGCAGGTTGGTAGCAATTGTTTAAGAGTACAAATTTCTAGTTTTAATTTTGCTGGCTACCTTAAGGACAAAAACATTCAGAAGGAAGATTTAAGACGTTATAAGCTGTTTCCCTATCCTGGGGTTGTCCTCTCCCCCCTCTTCCCAATATGGCTGTAACCGTATTAGTTGAGGAGAGGCACAGATGCTGTCAGCTACAAGGGGGAGGTAAGGTTGCAAAAAGCCAAATTAAGCAGTTATAAGTAATCTGTGACTTACCACCGCAACCGAACCCAAAATTTCTGATGCTGCCAAGTCCAATGGCTAAGTGAGATTTCCCCCATTGTGTGACCTTTTTCTCACCACAGTTAAGTGAATTGCTGCAGTCGTTCACGGTTGTAAAGTGAATCTGGCTTCCCCATTGATTTTGCTTGTCAGAAGGTTGCAAAACGTGATCACATGACCCCGGGACATTGCAGCCGTCATAAATGTGAGTCAATGGCCAAGTGTCTGAATTTTGATCATGTGACCCCGGGGATGCTGCAATGGCCATAAGCATGAAAAAAAAATTGATCATGTCATAAGTCACTGCACTGCCTTTATATCGGTCACTAAACAGACAGCTGTAAGTCGAGGACAGGCCTGTATTGAAATAGGTTGTGAGGTTTTTCACCCCGCTCTTTCCTTTCCTGCCAGAAACCAAAGGGACCACCGGGGCCTTTGGAGCCCTCCGCCCAGACAGACAAGTCCCATCAGCGGGAGAAGTTGGAGCGCTTCAAGCAGATGTGCCAGATGTTGGAGCGGGTGAAGAACAGCAGCAGTTCCAGNCAGCTGTGGTTTGTTTAACCAGTTGTGCTAAGAGTGCAGGGTTGATTCCAGTAGCTATTCAAGATTCACACATCTCTGGTTCCGATGCTTCCACCATGCTGTTGCTCACCGCATTCTGATCAAGGAACTGGAATAGGGGGTTTAGATATGTATATCTATGGCTTAGACACCTTTCACTGGGTTTCAGCTCTTCATGCTCTGCCCCACTTTTCTTGGGCTTCTAGAAGGAGCTGTAGTCATGTAAAAGGGGCTGTTTGTAGCACTAGCTATTCTGGAAGTAAGAAGAATGAATGCTATAACAGAGTTGGAAGGGACTTTGTAAGTCATCTAGTCCTGCCCCCTGCCCAAGCAGGAGGCCCCACACCATTTCTGACAGATGGCAGTCCAGTCTTTTCTTGAAAGTGTCCAGTGATGAAGCTCCCGCAACTTCCGAAGGCAAATTCTGTTCCATTGATTGATTGTTTTCACTGTCAGAAAATTTCTCCTTATTTCTAGCTTGAATCTCTCCTTGATCAGTTTCCACCCATTATTTCTTGCCTGGCCTTCAGGTGCCTTGGAAAACAAGTTGACAACCCCCTCCTCTCTCTGACAGCCCCTCAAATATTGGAACACTGCTATCGTGTCTCCCCTGGTCCTTCTCTTTACGAGTCTAACCATAACCAGTTCCTGTAACTGTTCTTTATATGTTTTAGCTTCCAGTCCCTTAATCATCATCTCTGCATTCTTTCTCAACAAACTTTTTATAGTGTGGTGACCAAAACTGGATGTAGTATTGCTATGATGAGCCCTTTCTCAGGATCTGGCCGGCATCCTGCTGAATGATCTCAAAGTGGACATAGATGCACCAGAAAGAATTGCTTCTTGAAGGACATCAAGGATAGAAGCATCTTTATTTTTATTTTTAATCAAATTTATATGGCTGCCGATCTTACAGAAAGTGTCTCCCGAATACACAAATACACAAAATCGGTGAAATAAAATTTTAGCCTGTAGGAGAACAGCATGATTTTCACACGCTTTTGATTTATAATTTCTCTATCATAATAAACCCTTCAGGCAGGCCATAACATATCAAAAACATTTTTTTAAAGCCCAGTTCTTGGCCTTCACGCTGTTCCTGTCTGCTATTAGCTTTAACAATTGCCTGCTGCTTTTAAAAGTTGAGCTCTGGGAAATTGCAGGCAGTTTTGTTTATTTCAAAGTTATCTTTATTTTACTTTTCTACCATATGCTCCCCTTACAGATCTGATCAATCAGAATTAAAGGATGCTGTTTGCTTGGCAGTCCCACACATTCTTAGTAGCCTTGACTATCTAGCCATGAACTGTGGTTAGCATATTTAGAGAATTAATTAAAACTTGCCTTCTTCACATGCTGGAAATTTTTGCTTATCAAGTGGGTTGATAATGTGGCATAAAAATCAAAAGAAGTGTGGATGAGGCTTGGCCGAAGCACAGTGGTATTATCTCTGTGTGTGTTTGTGTGTGTTTTGCTGGGAAGGGCGTGTGGTTTATATGAACTAGTCTAAGGACAACAAAGATACTATGAATAGAATAGAATAGAAAATATGGAATGGAATATGTTTGTTTGTATGTTTGAATGTTTATTTCATTTGTATGCTGCCCTTTTCCCCCGAAGGGGGACTCAGTGCGGCTCACAACTCAAACCAGGGAAGGGGGATACAGACAAATTAACAACAACACAAAACAATACATAATTTAAAAACACGCAACAATCATACCATTCGAGATAGGGGCAACGGTAGAATAGAATAGAAAATATGAATGGAATGGAGATGGAATGGAATTGAATAAAATAGACTATNTTCCAATCTGAATTTCAGGGGTTCTGTATAATAACTGTTTGCTATATAAACAAAAAAAAAAATTATCAAAAAAACGAAAGTGTTTTGATCTTGAAAGCCTGTTTTTCATTATTCCCTCCCCCCCTCCTTTTACACACACATCATGCACATTCAAACCTATATATATATATATATATATTCGGTTCTATCTCCTTTCAAAACAAATGTTGTGAATAAAAAAAATATGTTTCAGGGGGAATGTTAATTATTATTTTCTTTTTTTAATTTTCGATGGGTTTTCTATTTTATATTTCCTGGAAATATTTTTTTATAAACTCTTCTTTTGGTTTTTTCAAAGGTTTTATTTTGTTTTGTTTTTTCATTTCTGTTGTTGTTAGCAATGCTGCCCTAAGGGCTCTGGTTTCGGGGATGATGGTATAAGTGGGGGGGGGGTGTACCTTTAATCAGTTAAATTAAAATTGTGAGGAAGCCTTAGGTGTGAATCAGCACCCGGATTCTTCTGTAACAGTTGTCATTTGCAAATTCACAACATGAAACGAAAAAGTTCTTCATATTTGCCCCAAAATTAGGCACTTCCCAAGGGAAATTCAAAAGAGAAGGGCAAGGGAACCAGTGAGATACCAGCCCTTGTTTTGGATTAAATGTGTGTCTCGAAAAGAGCCAAGGATGATGGACAAAGCATACTTTTCCCACAATAGCCTTCTGTGGGATACATTGGGATGACGGCAGCTACTGAAGTATAGCTTAATTCATTTTAGGAACAATTAGAAGCGCCCCTCTTTCTTTGGCCTTAATTCTACATGCTGGATATGTTTGCATGTTTAGCCCAGCCACATATTAATTATGATTTTATCAAGCCTGATGTTCTGGATTGCCAGAGCGGTGAATCAAAAAAGGAATAACGGCAGGATTTGTTAACTCTTAAGCTGTGATCAGCTAGTTCAGGGTAAGAAAAATTGAACCAGTAGACTTCATTAGATTGTGTGCTGGCAGCAACCCCCACCCCATTGTCTTTTGTGATTTGGTCCCATAAATACGTTAAAATGTCTTGAGATTCAAAGATCTGACTATCTTTCCCCAAAGGACACAACTATTTTGACATTTAAACTTGTCGACATTAAACTAGACAAAGCCTTAGTGGAAAGCGAAGTTGTGAGAGCCTTAGTGAAAGTTGCCTCTTTCTATTGAGGCCAGTTTCCAACCATGTTCAGCTTTGTCCCACTCCAAGCCCTCAGAGAAGTCCAGAAAACGAATGAAAAAAGTTCTAACATTGAACGCTGCCTTCTCCAGAGCCACTAAGATGGTCTGGAGCCCAGTTGAAAGTTAATTAGCAAAACCCAGCTTGAAGTGTTTCCCTGCCGTCCACACCCTAATTACAAGTCTTAGCAGAACCTGGCTTGTATTTTTAGAATAGATTAGAGCCGGAAAGGATTTTGGAGATCTTTTAGACCAGGGATGTCAAACTCATGTCGTCACATGACGTATCGTGATTCTGCCCCCCCCACTTCACTAAACCAGGGGTGGGCAGGG